AGCAATCCAATGGAGAAGGTGGCTGAATTTCATGGTAAAATTAGCTTTGATTCTGTAAAGTATATTTCCTAGTGGCCATGTCTATATTTTAGGTAACATGTTGTCAAATGAAACAAATAAGGGGCTCCTGGAAAAAATGTTCTTTTCCTATATATTGTTAACCAGTGTAAAAACTGATATCATATAAAAATGGGGGAGTTATGAAATTTACATTATTAAGGGAGATTAGAGTCCCTAAAAGCAGGAACTCTGTTCAGAGCAAGTGAGTACAGACACTCAGCATCTGCTAGGCAGCTTCCAATCCCTGGGCAAAGACTGGGCATGTCTCCAAGCCCCGGGACATCCCTACACAGTGCCACTGCCAGGCCACCACATTCCTGTGGAGAACACGTGCCCCTGAGCCTCGGCATGAATGCTGAGGACAGACACTGGGGGAGTCTGTACTTGTCCTGATAATCCAGGTTCCAGAACTCTGTTCAGGCTCAGTGAAGCCAGACTTTCTCTTTGTGGCTTCTACGTTAGGATCTCTGCAGAGCAGTTTTTTGTACAGTGGGGTAGAGCTATTTAAAATTTGGTATCAGTTGAGTCTGTGTTGGTACAGCAGGGCCTTATTAAAGACACTTTGTGCATAAGATATTTAATTTTATTGTGAAGGAGAGAAGACTGCCTTTGACAGCCCCAGAAGAAGGCAAAAGGAAATCAGGAGATCTGGGCTTAAATTTTGTTTCTGATGCTCTCTGGCTGTGATCTGAGCCCTTAACTTCTTTGCACTTCAGGGTTTTTCTCATTTATACAATCAGGAGGTAAAACATGCATGATCCAGCCTTAAAATGGATTTCTAGAAACTATTCAATTGGGAGTGTTTTAAAAGGATTTCACTATTTCCAGAGATTCATGGCATTGCAAGAGAGGGAATGTCAGAGGTCATTTAGGCCATGATCCTGCTTTCCTTATCTCACCACATCTAGCCTCTCCTACAAAGAGGGGTGTCATGGAGGCAGAGGGTGATCTATTGCCCAAAGGAGGGACATTTGGAACAAGCCACTTCATATAATGGCTGAGAAGATCCCCTGCAGCTGTGGCCCACCCCATGAGGTGACTGAAAGCAGGTGTGGCCCAATCCTCCCTGCAGAACCTAGTGTGAATTCTAAAGGGCAGGTGACCCAAAGAGAACTGAAGGGCAGGCACCTTGGGTTGCCGTCTTATCCTATCACAGAGGTTCTCCAAGTGTGGCCTACAGACCCCTTAAAACCCTGAGGCCCTTTCAGGGGGTCTGTGAGGTGAAAACTGTTTTCACAATAATACTGAGACTTTATTTTCCTTTTGCAATGTGTGGACATTTACAGTGATGGTGCAGAAGCAGTGGTGAGTTAAAGCCACTGCCCTTTAGTGCTGATCAAGAAAAGGGCCCTGCACTGCAGGAGCAGCCCATGTATTCTCCACCACCAGGAGCTTGCAGTGGCCAGCAACTGAAAAGGCAGTTCTGCTTAAGAATGTTCCTGACAAAATAATAAAAATGATTAACTATTAAATCTCTGATTAACTATTAAATGTACCTCTGAGTATACATCTTTTTATTATTCTGTGTGACTAATTGGAAAATATGCATAAAGCTCTTCCACTATAAACTGAAGTACTCTGATTGCCTTGAATAAAAACACTTGTGTGATTTTTTGAGGTGCAAGCTGGACTAGACACTTTTATGTTCATAAAATACCATTTTTTACTTGAAAGGACAGATGACAAATTGTGGTTGTTCAGACTTAAGAATCTAACATTTTCTCAAAAATGAAGTGAGCTTGTCACTTCCAGGAAAACAACTGACAGTATTTGTTGCCAATGATAGAACTCAAGCTTTCAAGCAAAACCTACAATTTTGGAAAACTTGTATGCATTACTATGAATTTGATAGCTTGCTGATACTTACATACTTTTCTGAAGACATTGGAAGTGATATTAATGAATGTGATGTTTGATACTATATAATGAAATGTTTCAATATCTGGATCATCTGCATAACTCAGTAAACCAATATTTTCCAAATGACTAATGTATGAAGGTAATGATAAAATCATTCACTTAAAAACATCCAAAGTAAAGCAATGCATTTTAATGTAACATTGATATGGTTTCATATTCTACATTGTGATTACCCTTTAAGAAACCACCATTTGTAGAATTTGGGTGTAGTCTTAAAGATTATCTGCAATTAATGAAAAGGTTACAAAAATATTCTTCCCTTTTCCAATTATGTATCTGTGTGTGGTGTGAGGTAGAATTTTCTTTCTATACTTTAAGCAAAAAATACACCACAGCAGGTTGCATACAGAGGGAAATATGAGAATCCAGGTGTCTTTGACTAAGCCAGATATTAAAATGTAAAATAATGTAAAATAATGATGTTCTTTTCACTATACTTCTTTGGTTCTGGACAATATATTAATTTTCATAAAATAGTTTAACAATGAATTTATTATCACTAATTTATTATATATGACTTTTTAAATTAAGAAGTAATATTTTAAAATTTCTTTTAATGTTGTATATTGATAGACCCAACTCATACAAACAAAAGGATGTTGGAATTCTCAGTACTTTTCAAGTGTGTAAAGGGGTCTTGAATTTTAAAAGTGTGAAAATTGCTATTCTGAGATCCTTGTGGAGAACGTGGTGTTTTGGGTGAGTATTCAATAAAGGAGAGTCAGAGTCAGCATTTTTCAGTTTGCAAAACTATTGGGAAGCATCATGGCTTAATCGGGCTTAATGGCAAGGGTTGGTTGTCAAGACAAAATCATCCCTGGAGTAGCAAAAGGAGAATCATCTATTACCCAAGATTGGTAGAAATCACTTCGGTGAATATCAAATTTTCAAAGTCCTCACTAGACTGTCTTGTCCCTTTCCAGTCAGCTCCAGTTCCCTGACTGTACAAGTCCACCCTTTTCCCTCCAAGGAAGGTGTATAGTCCACACTCCCTGCTCAATATTGGCCATCATGACTAGATGTGGGCTGGAAATCCGCCTCCCAGGTCACGGAGAATGCCACTGAGTTCAACAGTCAGTACAGAGTACTTGGGGGCAGCAGACGCTTCCAGACGCACCAAGGATGAAAGGTGACATGTCATGCTTTTGTCCCAGAGGACTTCTTTGTCTCATGGGGAAGCAAGACTCCTGAAGAAATAATTGCATTATGATGTGATAAATGCTCTTCTGCACACAGGGACCAGATTTCCCAAACCAACAATTAAGACACACTCCAACACCTGACAATGGAACAATCCTGGGAGATCTGGAACTCCTATCTGCTATATTTGTTAAGAAACTACCAACAATGGCACAGAAATTCTGTATAGAATAGTACTTGATTTGGGCCAAAGACCCAGAAACAAAGGTCTATACTTTTTTGTGCTTGTGTTTTAATTCTGGGAAATACAGTGTCAGAATAGGAAAGAGCAAGAAGCTCCTTAGGATTACAAAAGATAAGTAATGGGCCCCTAATATTTTATTTCCTCTGGGTTAGTACATGGGAGGCGATGGAAGAAATTTTTCCATCATACTTATTCCAAGTGGTTCCCCCACCCCCCCCCACCTGGCAGAGAGTCCAAGTTTGTTTCCTTGGGTCTCCCACACCAGCTGAAGCAGATCAAGCTGAATCCCAGAGTCAGAAGAAATGAACTAGTAAGAGGCTTCCAAGAACCCAAGCCTTGGTTGCATGTGGGTAAAATGAAACAATAGAGCTCTTTATCAGCCAAGAAATGTTGGCATCCCCTCTGGGTGGGCTGTTTGAGGACCTCAGAGGTTCTGGTCTGGACTGGGTTTTCTTAAGTCCCAGCCATGTACCCTTTGCTCCCCCTTCCTTTGGGGCTGACTCAAATCTCTCTTTTCAATCTACTTCTCCCTGTCCAGCTGTTCTTTCCCAGCTATGGCAACTCCAAAGTGAAAAGAACAAGGATAAAACAGGCAATGAGCAGAGAATGCATGCTCAGTGCCACACAGGACACCCTGCTACCCAGTTACAGAGTATGGGTGACACTGGGTCTTGAAGGCAATCCAAACAAAAGGCAGGACAAGGAGCCAAACAAACCCCATTGTGAATCTCAGATCCACCTCTTATATTTGACTACAGGCAAATCATGACATTTCACTGATCCCCAGTGAGCTCATCCACAAAAACAGATTATTTTGAGGATTAAATGACATAACATATGTAGAAATGCTCGACACACAGTAAGTCCACTGTTCATAGCTCTAATTTTCACTTCTTTCTGTGTGATTATTTAATCAGTTACCTGTCTCCCCACTTGTCTCTGAGTTGCATGAGAATCTGGACTGTGTCTTTTTCTGTTCACTATTAAATATCGAGAGCTTAACACAGCACCTGGCATATGTGAGATGTTTGTTGAGACAAGTGTATGGTAAAAGAGAGTTGGTAGGATTAAGATCTTGATTAAGGATCTACTCCACAACAGCAGTTTGCAGTCTCCTAACAATTCTCATTGATTGGTACTGGCTCTCTAGATTGTGGCATCATGGATTTGGAGGTGGCATCTGGCATCAGTGGGGAAAAGGCATGCTAATAGAGTCCCAGTGCTGTGGTTCAGGATACAGCATATTTGTTGACCTTGGTCTGTGGAGTCAAGAGCAGGTCCCTTTTGCCAGCTATTTCCAGCACAAACGGGTCTACTGTACAATTCATAGATAGAGCCATCTTAGGAGGAATGAGGTTACCAAATGTCTGCCCTGAAGATAAGCAGCCTGACCTCAGGAACTCTTTTTTTTTTTTTGTATCACAGATAAGAAAACATTCAGAACAAAGTATGCAAAGAAGCTAAAAGCATGCCGCTATTTATCTGCCTGTCTTGATGAATTCACTTCCTGGGAATGTGTGTTTCATTAGTCAGTTGGTAAGAGCGAGCAGCCCCAATACTTCAGCTTGTGTCCGCACAACCAGAAAGAACTTTGCCATGTGTTTTCCCAGACCCATGAAATAGCTCCTCTACTCACGTGGGTAATCCTTTGGGTGCGTCTTCTCAGACCAATTCCCATAAAATGTGAGTCTGTACTTGGCAGTCCCACAGGCACAGCAGTCTAGGATTGGTTTGTCAGTCACCCCATCAAACGTGGAATCTGAAACAGTCAGGAAAGTCACCAGTTAGGAAGCAAACACGGTCCCTTGCAAGGCAGCGCCATCTTGGTCTCATACTGTCCTGAATGCTTGGGGAAAGATAAGTAGAGTCTTCATTCATGTATAACACCCAGACCTAGATCAGTACTTGGGCTATACAAGATTTTGTACACATTTAAGTATGGTGACTATATTGTGCAAATAAAGACCATTCAGAACTTTTGCTCTAATAATATGAGGGGACCTATGGGACTAATAAGGCAGAATATTTGGGATGGGGGTCAATTTGGGAAAACAGGGATCAAATTTATTCAGTGATGATTTCTGGGCCCGAGTCTCCTTCCCCATCCTTCCTATAACAGGGTATCTCAACCAAATTTTAAGAGGAATATGTATATGTGTGTTTTCTCTATTCTCCGTGGCCAAATTGCCAGGATCAGAAGGAACAGTTTTGGAGAAGAGCAATGAGAAGAAGTAGAAACATAAAGGACTGCTGAAAATTGTTGTTTTAAAGATATGCATATATAGTTAATCATTTCTTATCAAGCTTTCAGAGACTTTACTGGGAGAAGTGGGGGTCTAAAATGATTACAGCTGTAACTTGTTTCAATTGCTTTTTCTTCAGTTTCTCTAGCAGTATTTTTTTTATTAAGGTATCATTGATATACACTCTTAGGAAGGTTTCACATGAAAAACATTGTGGTTACTACATTCACCCATATTATCAAACTCCCCTTCAACACACCCCATTGCAGTCACTGTCCATCAGTATAGTAAGATGCCACAGAATCACTACTTGTATTCTCCATGCTACACTGTATTCCTCATGACCCCTCACACACCATGTGTGCCAATCATAACGCCCCTCAATCCCCTTCTCCCTCCCTCCCTTCCTACCCTCCCCAGCCCTCCCCTTTAGAACTGCTAGTCCCTTCTTGGAGTTTGTGAGTCTGCTGCTGTTTTGTTCCTTCAGTTTTTCCTCCTTGTTACAGTATTAACATAAATGTTCTATTTTTTTGTAAATTGGACATTCATTCTTATATATTATATATGGAGCAGCGACAAAGTATGAAATTCTTTTTACCAGCAAGAGCATTTTACAATTCTTATGGAATTCACTGTATTCATTTGGCTTTAATATGCAAAATCAGTGATGGGGGAAGAAGGGAATTCTGGGTTATGGGATGGAGACAGAAGTAGGGAACAGTGTAATAATAACTACAATGTAGAGAGTCCTTGATGTCCTGATCCTGTTCCATTATTGTCTCATTTAATCCTAACAATTCTAGGGGGTAATTTAATGAGCCCCATTTTCAGATTAATAAACTGAGGCAGGTTAGGTAATCAGTGTTAGTGAGAGGTTAGGGCAGATCTGGAGCTCAGGGCTTTCTGAGTCCAGAGCCCACGCTGTTAATTTCTGCACTGTATGACTCCAGAAAAGATTTCTGCTGGAAGGGTCTGCATAAACACCAATGAGAGAAAATTTTGTGTGTTTCTCTTTAAGCTTTTCTAATTGAAGAATGGTACATTTAAAAAATTTCCTCCCTACATAGCTCCTGGATTCCTAAGCACCACTCATATTGGAAATCATTGTTTGGAACAAAATGTACAAAAAAGCAGTAGACTCATAGACACTGAGAAGTGACTGGTGGTTGCCGTTGGGGAGGGTGGGTGGGGAGTGTAAGAGAGATAAAGAGGCACAAAATCTCAGTCATAAGTTGGTCATGGGGTTGATAGTACATCATGGAGAATATAGTCAATGGTTCTGTAACATCTTTCTATGCTGACAGTAACGTGCACTAGTGGGGGTGAGGATTTAATAATGGGTGTAACTGTTGAATCACTGTGTTGTATACTTGAAACCAATATAATATTGTATATCAATTATACTTCAATAAAAAATAATTAAAATTAAAAAAAATTTATTGTTTGGCTACTTTTTGTTCATGTGGAAGAGGCCAGAACATCGTCTGGTGCTTAGGTGCAGGTCCTCACTGCCTTATGCACAAGAAACCCAGGTCTGCTTTCTCTCTGAGCACTTTGACAGGTAACGGACAAATCCTGTTGAATGTATTTCAGGAAAGGTAATGTAAATCCTGAAGTTTTTTTTCTTTTTACATTTCCATTATGACTAACTACATTGCAAAAAGACTAAATTAGTTTTGAAGAAGGGATTCTGAGCTAAGAGATACATGCTGGGCTTTCTGTTAAATGAGACAGCGATAATCTCTCAATGAATCAAAATTAGGCAAATTGGTAGCTTTACTTTATCAAAAGGGCTTTCAGATATAGGTAGTAAACCTCAAGATACATCCAGAAGCTCAAGGAAATACACTTACATAGACCTTTTAAAATTCCAAAGGAAAATAAGCTTTCACTTAAAAGTAAATTTCTGACTTTGAAATGAAAAACAGACACACTGTTTTCTATGAGGAAAAGTCTATTGTAAACGAACCAGGTTTTTCAAAGGGCAGTGTTAACTTACTCCTCCTCTAACCATGCAGCGCCTGCCAAGTACAGCGAAGGTCAGGCCACGCAGCGCCTCCTGAGCGGCCCTGGCTCCCCATTAGGCCTCCCAGTCTGCCAGCTTGCTTTTCAGCTCTCCCCCCGCCTCACTCTTCACCCTTCTTCCCTTTGAGTTTGCTTTCTCATTATCCCTTCCCTCCCTGTTTCCTCTCTTCTCTGCTTCCTGCCCCCCCATCTTTCCCTCTCTTTGACTTACTCCCTTCCTGGTTGTGACAGGGTCTTAAAGTGAGTATGCATATGCATTTCTTTAGTCTAGGTCACCTTTTTGAATATTTTATGTTTCTCTGCTCTTAATTATAAGTAACTTAATGTTTTATGTTTCTTTTTAAAAAGAACGATTGCCATTGCTTTTTATCTGCTTGGTTCTTCATTTTCCCCTATGGATTAATAGCTTCAATTGGGAAAAAATAATAGATACTAATTTCTCTCTTCCATTCCTTGACAGATTTGATGTGACTCACCAGAAAGGTCAAGAATGTATAGATTAAAGAGCTAGAGAGACTTAAGTAGGCATACACAGTTAAGAAAAATCCCTTTGCTATCTGCAAAATAAAGACTTTCTTTATGCGATCTGCTTTGTTAATTGATGGATTTCTCCATGGGTCTGCTGTCTCCAGGGATCGCCTATAACTGCACCTAATCACCTACAGCCCAGGTCTTCTGAGCCTTTTTTTATCCACAAAATTACCTTTGGAAAGTGGCCTTTTTATACATATATGTGCTTAGTCATTTTGATAGGATCTCTGCTTTAGGAGTGAAAACAAATAGAGATATACATGCCATTTTATTGACACCACACATCTGTAGAATTGAGCATATTTGTAGCTTAGACAAAGCCTTCACATAATGTCAGGACTGAGGCTTTGAAAAGCCCACTTTAACGATTGCTGTCAGAATGTGGAGGTGACAGCAAAGTGCCTCCTAAGAGCTCTCATATCTGGGAATAAGGCTGTCTTCTAACAGTCACACCAACAAGACCACTCTCAGTAGCTGTGATAGACCATCTGCAGATGTAGACCAAGAGGTGGACTATACTGTGTGATCTAGAACCCACAACTTTAAGCCATGGGGCCATGCTGTCACTTCACGGAGGCAGGACAGGAATGGGGTTGTCCTTCAGGAACCAAGAGCCTCAATTGTTGAGATGTTTGGAGAAAGGCTGAGTGAACTTATGGATAATTAAATACAACAGGAATATACTGAGCATTTAAAAAATATTAGCTATTATTATTATTAAATACAATTAGTTACAGGCAAGGGAAGTCTCAAAAGTCACGTGTGGTGATGCCCGCCTGGAAGCTCACCAGGGCCCCTGGTGCACAGGTTCCAGCTCTCTGACCCCTATGACAGGTAGGACCCTGAAGCAGGGTGTAATGGCCTCCCCTTTTGTTTCTTCCATACTCTCCAAGCAATCTTCCAAATAGGACCTCGTTCCTGCTCTAGCTCACCCATAGGGAGATCTATGCTTTGGTATTCTGTGATCTACCAAAGGCAACAACACAAGCTACTGAACTGGGAGGTAGTCCTTTTGAAAAAAGGCAGTGGTTAAGGGCACAAACTTTTGGTTCCAAACCCTGATGTCTACGACTAGCTGTCTCATGCTAAGCAACCTACTTTTTGTGTCTCAGGCTTCTCATCTATAAAATAGGGATGATATAATGATCTTCCCCATATAAAATTATTATGTAGATTACATGATTAAGGTATGTGAAGTGCTCAGAATAGTTCCTGGAATGTGGGGAGCACTCAAAAAGTATTAGCTATTATTACTATTTTCTCAGAGGACCTTTTTAGCCTTTCTTTTCCTCAGTCATTTATGATTTGCTAGAATTTGAGAGGTTTATTTCATCTCAAAATGCTGATTGCTCTAAATGCAAATAAAAATTCTGCAAAATGAATACAAATTAGATAGTTGAGATGCATAATTATAGAACATTTTCTATTTTTATTTCATTATCTAATGACTTTAAACACATTCAGATATTTAAGATCTTAACTTTTTATGGTACATTAATAAACGAGTTTTCAGATGTAGATAACAATATCTAACACCTGTATATAGCATTTACTATGTGCTGAGGAGATGCTGTACTATTTTATTTACATTAAGTCACATGGTTAGGAAGGGCAGAGGCAGGACTCAAACCCAGGCTAGATCTTTGTCTCCTTGGTCTCCATGAGCACTGTTAGAATGCCTTCAACCCGACTAGAGAGCATTGATGAGCTGGCAAATCTAAGGACCAGATCTCTGAATGTGGTGGAATCACAAGGTCAGTGCTCCCATGGCAACCCCATCCCCCTCTGGTCTCTTCTGAAGAAAATCCTCCCTGCTCCCATACTGCCCTAGTGCTGCACAAGCTCTTGCTGGTGATTATTCCAGGGAACCGTTACAGAGTTCTTGAAGGCACACAATTGTGTGTTCCTTAATTAAGTCCATGTGAATTATTCCAAGGAACCTCTTCAGAATAACCACTGTTTCACAAAAATAAGAGGACAGCTATATAAGGTACATTATCTCCTACCCAGGGAATCAAACTGAGTAATTAGAGCTTAAGGCAGATCCAATTATCCACAGCACACAGCCGGATTAAAAACCAGAGCTACGTGAGGAGGCAGAACTCGGCAGAACTCAGAGTGCCCAACACCTTAAGTTGGACTGAAGGAGCTGCCTTCCGTATTTCTGACCCTCCCTGCCTGTAGTTCTTACCTTGTTCACAAAGTTTCTTGGTCAGAGAGCCCTCGTCTTGAAAATAAATGATGCGTTTCTGTACGATGCTTGCCCTGTGAGGAAAGGAGACACAGCACAGTGGTGAGGAGGGTGGGTTGGGGTTGTGAGATCCTTGTTTGGTCACCTTCACTCACGTGGCTTTGGGTGAGTCACCCCAACTCTCTGTGCCTCAGTTTTTCATTGGGAAAAAAGTGGCCTTAATAATAATAATACCTACCTCACAGGACTGCTCCGAGAGTCAATAAGAAAATGTACATCAAAAGCACAGCAACATACCTAGAAACCACTCAACAAATACTAGTTATTGTGTTATTGTTGGTGGTAATAATATTACTGTTAAGGTGAGAAAATGAACTAACAGCATTTCAATAGCTTTTTCAATGGTTCATTTTACTTTAGTTTTGCATCAAATATTGAGGCCATTTATAGATCTACCAAATTCAACTGCAAAAGCATGTCAAACCCTCTTCCCGGAGAGGAAGAAAGATTTAAAAAATATATTTTGATTTGTTCTGAAAATGTCATTCTCTATCTTTCCTGAAAGTCTAGACAAAACTGTTTCCTACATTCTGAACAAAGACAACTTCAGCTGTCACATCTCTCTCTTAAACACATCAAACACAGGATCTTAGAATTTGAAAAGAATATTTTGAGGTTGGAAATGACTTACTTTCCGCCAGCACATATTTTCTATTCAATCTAGGATTGCACAGATGTGCTACTTCTCCTCTAACCCACTCTGTTGTTTGTTTTCAACTGGTCTCTCAGACATTGAATCCTGAAACCCAGTGTTCCAATAACTTTAAAGTCGGCAACACTTAACATGGGGACAGTGCAAATGGATCTTGGGCCATTTCTATTTTCTTCAGCAATGCTACTCAATCAAAAGGTAATTTTTACTTTGATTTGTGCTAGTTAATAGATAAAGGGATCCACCACCACTGACCACATTGATGGAGTGGCAGTCACATGATCTGCCCTGTGTCACGTGGTCTCCGACCCAGGAATGAGCCTGTGTGTGCATGGATCTGCAGAGTAGAGACAGTTTTCCGGATGGTCTGGGCCTGGGCCATGATGACTTTCCAAAGAAATGTCTACTCCACAACCAGTCTTGCACAAAATAATAACATTCAGACCAGCCTGCAGATGTCTTAGTTTTTCCTCACACAAGAGAGATGAGATGTTGAAATAAATGACTGAAATATGCTTCCTGTCTACACAAAGCTACTTTGATCATTTATTCATTCTGTCAACCATCAAGTAGAAAGGTTCCTCAGGCCAAGAAAACACACTTGAGAACATTCACTCCAAAGCCAAATCACAAAGCCTTTTGTTAATCATAGCATTCCATCATCTACCACAGTGCTTTTCAGAGTGTACCCTACCCAGAAGTGCCTCAGGGACCTCCAGGAAGGGCAAGTAAAATACCTAGTGGGAAGTACCCCAGACCCCACATTCTTGATTTAACCAAAGGCTCCATCCCCATTTCAACCAAAGTGGCCACCTCTCCCATTTTAATTCCTGTTGTGTTTACTGGTATATATGTATATACACACACATACACACACACACACACACACACACACATATATATTTATATATATATATACATATATATATTGGTATCATTAATCTACAGTTACATGAAGAACATTTACTGGTATATTTTTAACAGATAGTTATTGGAGGTCTGCTTAATGGCCAGACACTGGCCAAGGACACTGTCATGAACAAGACAGGTAGGCTATTTCCCATTCTCAAATCTCAAAGTTGACAGCATAGTGGGGAGAAGTATCAAACAAGTAAATCCTCAGCTACATTTAATACAACCATGATCAAGTGCTGAATGGAGACATCTTCAGGAAGTGAAAGAGTATAACATGGGGGGTCCTGACCGAACCAGGAAAGGCTACCCCCAGAAAAGATGGCTGAGCTTTGAAACAGTAGGAGTTAACTAGGCAAGGAGGAAGGAGAAGCAAAGGAGAGACACCCTTTTAAGATCCTTGAGGTGGGGAGATACAAGACTCATTGGAGAACCTATGAGTGGTAAGCCAGGGAGATGGTGTTAGGTGAGCTGAGGAGGTAGGCAGGGCCACATTACTCAGAGCCTGCAGGAAAATGGCATTTTACTCCAAGATTGATGAAATAGTTATCTTCAATGAGTGTGTCTTGAGGAGTGGGATGATCAGATTTGATTTTTTTAAAGTAATTGTGCCATAGAGTAAAAATGGGTTTGTGTGTGTGGTTGCAGTGTACAGAGCTCTCATGCAAACCAAATTTTGTTTCAATAAAATTATCTTGCTAAAATGTTGTGAAAACCCCTGATCTATGGGGTAAATACAACCTTACCATGGCATTCAAGGCTCTTTAGAAAATATCCCCCCAAAACTCCTCTGGATTCATTTGTTGCCATTTCACACCATGCTCCCTGGGTTCCAGACCTTGAGAAATTTATTGCCCTTGTCTGAATACCTCTTCTGCTCAATAAGGTCCCTTGCCTGCTGTTCCCTCTCAGAATCTCTCAGAATCTCCCAGAACTTGCCTTTGTTAGTATCTGAAACAAGTACTCTGAATTTTCTTCCTCCTGTGGTGAATAAAAGAACAATGGAAAAGCCTTTGATTTAAAGTCATGATCACACTGAAAAAAGTTAAATCACCTCCAATTTTTCAAAAAATATCTTTGTAAAACTTCAGTGGACCAGCAACAGAAAACATGTATTTCCTATAAGATGTTTCCATTTCCTTCATGCCTTGTTTTATAATGTATAAGTGACTCACTTACTCTTTGATAAAAGTTATAATTTCTGAGCCCTTACTATGTGCTAGTTACCATGCTTGGGAGGCCCTTTCACTATATTACCGCATTATCTTATGCTTCACATATACTACAGGTCCTCAAATTCCTCATTTAAAATCCTTGGGTTAGATGTGGTTCTGAATTCAGAGTTTTTCAGATATTATAAAGTTGAGATGCCAATATACCATTAACAAGGTTATCAATATTCCTTAGTAAAATGTGAGAATATCATTCCAAGAGAGTAAATAAAAACTATAAATAGCTTCATGTCAGTTTAGGTCAAGTTGGACAAACTTATCAAAATGCTTTTGTTTTCAAAGGGATTAACATGAGCGTTCATGGCTATTTTCAGCCACATGTTACAGGTGAGGATGACTGGGGTGCATGCCCAAGGTTATGTAATATGCCCAAGGTTTGAAGTTTCCCTTGTCTGGCTCCAAAGTCCATCATCTTACACTCAGAGTGGTTGTAAGGATTAAAGATGATGATGTATTAAAATATATTTTCCCTGTAAGGTCAGTTTTATTATGAAATGTGACCTCAAATTGATTACCCTTGTATCTATTTTGGCATCTAATGGAGCACACTGTGGAGAACTGAGACTTTGGCCGGTCTCCTTGGAGCCTGGGTCATGATCACTTAATGCTCTCTGTGGAAAGCCCGAGCATGCATCTCCATGCTCACGCTTGGCCAGCCTTCTGGATCATGCCCTTTGGATTTCAACCATTGTGCAGATCAAGTGTGGGATACAAGGCTTGCTCTGATCTGGCCCTGGTGATTTGCCTTCATCTCTATCTAATACCTCCTGAGCACTCTAAGCCATATCCTATAACTATCTTCATGATTTCATGCCCCAGGCCTCTTGCCATGGGACATCTTCTGTTTTTCATGACTCCACACATACATACAAAAAAACAGACACTTCAGTTACCCAACTCCTACCCAACTATGATATTATTTCCTTCAGATTGATTTCCTGATTGGGTGCTTTTCCTGTGAGAGCCAAGGCCTCTTGGGCATCTCCTACCACAGCACTTATTAACCTGCATTGTAATTGCTTATTTTCTATCTCCTGTGCTAGATTATAAGCTTTTAGAGAGCAAAAACTGTATCTTACTTATTTCTATAGATGTTAGTATCATTTGTACTGGGATTCAAGAAGGAACAGGGTTTGGGGAAAAGGAGAGAATTTGAGATTGAGCTATCAGGCATGATTGTGGTCCGTTTAGTGGGTGGTTAGACATAGGCACCTGCAACTCAGGGGAGATGTGAGGGGTGGGCAGTCACTGAGGCAGAAGTAAGAGCTGAAGCTTTTGGAGTGGCTGATGTCACCCAAGGAAAGTGTACAGACTGGAAGAGAGTCAAGCTGAGCCCAGAACCCTGAAGACCAACATTCATCAACAGATAGGCCAGCAGAGACCAACACTTTGGTATGCTTGGTTGCAGAAAATGTTTCTTTTTATTCCTTGTTCCGTCAATTCCTGAAATAATTTTATATTCTGAGAAAATGCATTTCATTTTGAGTCTGTTCCCATCAAAAGTATAAAACTCAGCTGAGATTTATAAATCATATTATAGTTCAGAAAAATAATAGCTTTACAAGATGAGAAAGCTGTTAGTAAGAATTCCCTTAGCATTTCAAAATGACAAATTTCTCCTATTCTGTGTTGCAGTTTGGCAGTCCTGTTGCATAGACTGATACACTGAATGCTCTCTTATCATGAGAGAGCATGTTAAGGAAATCTAAATTAAATTTCTCAGTAGGCTAGCTTCTCAACTTTGGAATATTGAGGTTCAGAGTAACTTACTAATCATTTTTTAAAATTTTCTTTTAAACCTAAAGTAGAACATTTCCAGAAATGCCATCTTGAATCTCTTAGATGCTTGGCCCTTTTCTGTCTGAACGGTTTATTCACTTGCCATTCCTTTTTCTTGGGGATAAAGTCAGAGCTTGCTAACTCTGAGTATGCTATCTAGTGCTGAAAAGGCCTAGGAGACCTGCTCTCACCAAAAAGAGTCAGGGAGACATCAGAAACCAAAGGACTTGGGAGAAATTAGGTCATGAAATGACAGAAATTTATACGGATCCCCAGTGGCTGTGTTACTACCCTGGAAATAATTCATGTATGGTCCTTACTACATGCATGGTGTACGAAGTAAATATATTCAGTGCATGGTAGTCATTATTGTTGCTGTTAAATCACCAGCCCCTAACAAAGTGCCTGCATATAAAAGTACTTAATAAACCATAGCTAT